ATGACACAAAGCTTTAGCCAGATGTTCGACGCCTGAATCGCCGATTTTATTGCCAGCGAGATCAAGTTCGGTGAGTGCCTGTGTGAGACAGTCAAGATGCAGACGAAAAAGATAAAAACAGATTGAAATTTACTGTATTATTTCGGAGAAAATCAGCAAGATGTTCGACTCCTTTAGCGCCGATTTTGATTTTATTGAGTATGAGTTTGTTTAGTGTCTGTAATAGTTAGTAGTGGTGGAAATGAGAAAAAAAAGAGGTGTTGACATTCACTGTGTTGTTGCGAAAACCATCGACCAGATATTTAATCCCCAAATCTCCTATTTTATTGCGGCCCAGATCTAGTGCAGTAAGTGTCTACGAGAAAGTTTGGATAGAATCAAAAGATATGCAGAACATTGAGATTTACTCACCATGGTATTTTGAAAAGCATTAGCTAAATATTGTATCCCTTGGTCTTCGATTTTATTACCAGCAAGGCTCAATGTGATGAGTGCCTATTTGAGATGTAGATGATGTAAAGCGGAATGATAAAGATAGAAATTGATCTACCTTGCTTTTTCGAAATACATCGGCCAGATATTGAAGCCCTTGGTCTTTGATATCATTGTCATTCAAGTCGAGTTCAGCGAGTGCCTGACCAAAAAAAAGCGAGAATGAAACGAAGAAGATAAAGAAAGATTGAGGTTTACTGTATTGTTGTTAATTGTATCAGTCAGATATAAGGCCCCTTCCGTGCGGATTTCATTGCTTCTAAGTTCGAGTTTGATAAGTGTCTGTTTAGAAAATTGGAAAAATGAAGAATTTCGAGCGGGGCAATTTATTCACTGTTTTATTTCGTAGAACTTCAGAAAGATACTGAGTTCCTCTGACGCCGATTTGATTATAATTGAGGTTGAGCGTGGTTATTGTCTGTGTGAGAAAGTGAAGATGTGTTCAAATGAGCCCAAATGAGTATGATGTTTACCCTATTATATCGTAAGGCAACAGAGAGAAGTCGAATCTCCTTGTATCCTATCTCCTTATTTTCGAGATTGAGTGTCACGACCGTCTATGTCAGAACTAGGATTGAAAAACAAGAATACATATGAGAAAAAATCTTCACTGTGTTATTTTGTAAAGCATCAGCCACATAAGGGACCCATTCGGCACCGATCTCATCGATCGTGAGGTTGAGTGCGGTAAGTGTCTGTATAGAAAGATGAAGATATGAACGAGAGGTATATACATAAAAATGTGGTCACCAATTTATGTCGCAAAGTCTGAGACAAATATTTGGCAGCACTAATTGTAATTGGATTGCCTGTGATTTCTAATTTAGATAACGTCTGATTGAAAAGTCGAAGATAACGAAGTAAGATGTTAAGAGAGAAAATGTTCTCACTGCATCAGATTGTAAAACATCAGCAAGATCATGTGCACCTCGATCTCCGATTTGATTGTATCCAAGATCGAGCTTTGTGACTGCCTTTATTATAGTTAAACATGTCAAAGAATAATATAAATAGAGAAAGAGTATTACCACATCCATATAATACATGATAGCAAAAGCCAATGAGTGTGCTCCTTCATCACGGATTTTGTTGAATCGGAGGTTGATGACATTTAGTGTCTGTACGTGAAAGCAACGAGTTATATGAGATAGAAGAAGAAGATGAAGTCAAAGAAGTCACTGAGTTATAGTCAAAAGCATCTGCCAGATATTGAATTCCTAAATCTCCGATTTGATTGTTTGAGAGATCGAATGTCATGAGTGTCTAAGCGGGAAAAGAAAAATGTGTATCAGAGATATATCAAAGTAATAAGGCTTACTTTGTTAGTTTTTAAAGCTTCACCCAGATACTTCATCCCGGCATTACCGATTTGATTCTTGGATAAGTTGAGTGTGGTAATTGCCTATGGGAAAAATATGGTTGTAAATGAAAAAGATAAGAAATGATTGCGGTGTACCTTGTTTGTTCGTAAAGCATAGGCAAGATGTTGTGCCCCAATGTGTCCGATTCGATTGCTCGATAGGGAGAGCGTAGTCAGTGTCTGTATAAAAAATTGAGTACATAAACGAGAAAGATAATATGAAAATCACTTTACCATATTAAGTCGTAAAGTAGGAGCCAATTCTTGAATTCCCTCAGCTTCTAACTGATTGTAGCTGAGATCGAGTTGAGTGAGTGTCTGTATTAACAGTTAAGGTGCATAAGAGAAATAAAGTTGAACAATGATGTTCACCGTAGTATAGCCTATAGTTTGCGCGAGATATTTAGCCGTAGTAACACCGATTTGATTGCTGGAGAGGTTGAGTGTAGTAAGTGTCTGTGTAAAAAATGAACACGTAAATAAGAGATTAAATGAAACAAAAGACTCACTTTGTTGTTTTTTAAAGCAGCAATCAGATATTGAATTCCTTCGTCACCAATTCCATTGCTTCCGATGTCGAGTGTAGTGATTATCTGTGAAAAAACAAACTTGCATATGAACAGATTAAGAGTTAACGAAGTTTACCTTGTTATTTCTCACAGCATCAGCAAGATGTTCGATCCCATCGTATTCGATTTCATTGCTGGAGAGATTGAGTGAAGTAAGATTCTGCATATAAAAATCAAGATATATAAATAAGAGAGATACGAAAAGAAAGACGTTCACCGCGCCGTTTCGTAGTGTATCAGCCAAATGTTGTATTCCTTGATTCCCAATTCTATTAGATGCGAGATCGAGTGTGGTGAGTGTCTGTGAAGAAATGCGAGGATGTAACATAGACAAATGTTAATAGAAAGATACTCACCATATTGTTTCGTAGGACATCAGCCAGATATTGGGCTCCTTTATCTCCAATTTTATTTGATGAAAGATTGAGCAGAGTGAGTGTCTTAATTGAAAGTAAATGTTAAAATGAGAAATCACAAGAAAGACGATTTACAGTATTATTTGATAAAGCCTGAGCCAGATGCCGGGCTCCTTGGGTTTCGATATTATTAACTGCAAGACTGAGGGTGGTGAGTGTCTGTGAGAAAAGAAAATATGCTAACGGAGAAGATGACGAGAAAATGAAGTTCACTATGTCATGCCGTAAAGCATTAGCCAGATCCTCAGCGCCATGGTCTCCTATTTGATTGCTTTCCAGCTTGAGTGTTGTGAGCGTCTGAAAAAAGTCAATAAATATACTAATGAAATAAACGAAGAGAAAAAGATGTTGACTGTGTTTTGTGGAATAACATCTGCAAGATGTCGAGCTCCATTGTCTCCAATCTGATTTTTTGACAGGTTGATATTGGTCAGTGTCTGAATCAGAAAATGGAGATTGAAATGGGACAAGCAAAATGAGCGTCAAATGCACCTTGTTATTTCGACAAACATCAGCCACATACTGTGCACCTTGAGCTCCGATATTATTTGCTGCAAGGTCGAGTGTGGTAATAGTCTATATGAAAAAGTTTAGATGTATATAACAGAGATGAAGGAAGAATAATAATGACCTTGTTATTTAGGAGAGCATCAGCCAGATATTGAGCACCTTGATCTGAAATTCGATTCTTGGACAAGTCCAGTTGAGTGAGTGTCTATGTAAGAAAATGACAGCTGAGAACGAGATAGGTTAAAGAGAATATGGCTCACCGTGTTTTTTCGTATGACATTGGCGAGCTGTTGAGCTCCTTTGTCATCGATTTGATTGTCGCTCAGTTCGAGTATTTTTCGAGTCTGTGAAGAAAAGTGAAGAAGCAATTTTTTAGAGAACCATTATAAAGGCATTTTCTATGATGACACACATCAAATGGCAATGATGAAACACAGTACTCATGCATCCGCGCTTGCTTGTCCAGATTATACGCTACATCAAAAGAATAACAAGCAGTGTGACTGTCCATATAAATATTTTTCAGGAGAAACCAAATAAAAATCAATAGAAACTGCTTTTTAAAAACTCGATTCTAATTGATTAAATTTTATAGATCGATTGAGATTAATGAAAAAAGATTAAATTCAAATGAACTTTATCTTTAAGTTTGAAAAATCAGATTAAAACATTATCGTTATGATTGATTTTTCTCTAATTTTTACAGAGGAGTTTTTACATAGAGTCTTATAATAGGTTGTTTCAACTCGCACTTCTTGTAGTTATCTGCGAACTTAGAAATCACGTGATATATGGTATGAATTATATGGGACTACTGTTCTTTGTAAGAGGTACTGTATCGATGTGTTTTGCTTTGCACTCAGTAGTCGTCAGTTTGGAATATAATCTGAGATACATTGTTGGTATTTGAGCCTAGCATTAAGTCTCTAACATGTTTCGTGTTTGCACCTAGAACATACCAGTAAAAAACAGCAGAGACTCTAGTCTTAAAGTTCCATGAAGTACTGTGATGTCTCTCAAAGTCTCTTGAAATCTACTATTTACTGTTCGAAGACCTGAAGGTGAGTATCTTGTAATGAATTTTGCGTCCTACTTTTGGTTTTAAATCTTGTTATAGGCTAAGCGCTCGGAGTCTGATGTGACATGTGATTACGTTTTCAAGTGAACGCTAGAGTAAGTGAGCTGGAATTTTATGTGTGATTCAAGTCATGAAGATGATATTCTGGTCTCATTTCTCGTGTCTCAAGTTCTGGTGCTGAGTGAAAGTTTTCGATCATAATTCTAGGGGCTAGGGCCGATTGTTAGATCTTGAGTGTTGAATCTCTGTTGGTGATTCAAGCTCGCTTACCTATGCTTTGTTATTCTGCTACCAAGCGTAGGAAAATACTTGTTACATCGCTTTCTTCCTAACTTATCTACTGTTTACTATTAAATATTGAGTAGAAGACAAAAATAGAAGTTGCTTTTTTCAGCGTATGACATTGCGTCAAAAGAAAAAGCCAGATATTAACGTTTTCCGCTCGTTTCAATAAAAATCAATTAATTTAGTACAGCAGTCTTTATCGCTCTTAGATCAGCGTTGTAATCGATAGGATTTTTTTTCTACTGGTACCGGTTTAAATGGTCAGACCAGACCGGATTGGCTGATAGACCGACATGAGTCATTCTTTATTTTTCTAATATTATAACAATCGACCGGCTGTTAACCGTTACTAGTTCCAACTCTGGATAGTTCGCTCTACTCGAATGACCCATTGTTACTAATTATTACCATTTTTTTTTCAAAATCAATAAAAGGTTTAGAGATTTGGTACAATTCGTCAGGACTTATTCTGTTAGAGAGCGTAAATGTCCTTGAAATGGTTAAACAAAGTTGATTACTTAACGACATGATATCGTAGAGTAATTTATTTCAACTATCAATCTCATGATTTTATCGAGTTCTGTTAAGTTACTAGAGAACTTTGGTTGTCCCATCGCATTTATTGATCTTTAGATAACTAGCTAGTACTTCTAGAAAATGTTTTAAGAATTCGATCATATTTGAACTAAAAGTGAAAAGCTTATATGGAACTGCTACAATCAAAAATGTACTCGTTACGTATTAAATAATTCCGTAGATGCATATTTTTTACTATTGCATCCAAAAGATGAAACTGGCATTTAATCGAAACGTTCATACTTGTGAGCATCTGATCATATGTTAAAAAAAGTAAAGCACTGTACTTGAAGTGTTTCATGCAATGGCTGTTGATGATCATAATTCTGCATTATTTTATTCATGTCATCATTCTCTTTGTTGAGTCTAAGAAGAGAAAAAAAAATTAGTAATTGATTGAATACTGAAATACAGCTCAATTCACATTTAACTTCAACTGTTGAAAATATCTTACGTTTTATTCTGTTTTTCTTCGTCAAATATGCGTTGCCAGTATGATTCAGCAATGACTTTTTCACGATTTATTTGACGGGTGTCGACGGAAGACAGAATAGTGTCCGTATTGATCATGGGCTTTTGTTCAGTTGATGTCGCTAGAAAACGAAAAGTCATGATTAAAATTTTTGAAATGTGTAGTCTCACCTGTGTTATTGACTATAAACGAGTGGACATTGGTTATTTGATTAACAACAACCATAGGAACTCGTTCAGATTCGTCTAAAAAGGAAAAGTCATTATCAAAATTTCGATGACATGCATGATTTAACTGGTATGTTGCTTGTGTCGGCGTGATTTGCATAGACTTTTACAACAACAATAAATATATATTATGAATTGACCTAGATAACATAGAATGTTGAACGGTGGAGGCAACACTGTCTTATCTTTGATTTCATAAATTAGCCAGAATCGCTGATATCGCCATAGTTCATTTGATTTTTCTTGTACACGTTGAATTTTTTCACTAGATAGTACGAAAGAAAATCATTCGAAAGTCTGACATTTATTATTGTTTTATACTCACTTAAACATCGCGATAAGAACATTCAGAAGAAGTACATTAGATATTACCGTAAAGCCAATTGCAAATAAGAAAACAAATGTACCATATGCATCATTTTCTGAAACAATATAAATTGATTTGTCGTTTCCCTGTAACAATAAAAAGAATAACTTCATCTGTACCGCTAACGGCATCATTATATGGCTCGGCCACTTGTCCAAACACTTTCCAAACACCCCAGGTGAACACATCTCGTAATAATTGCCATCTCCACATTCCATCGCCACCTTCGACCACTACAGTGGCATTGGAAGATGACCCATTAGTCGAATTTGGCCAAATCACTTGCTCCTTAGTTGTCAAGAGAGACCAAGAAGCAACCGAAAAACCGAAGAGAATAATAAGGATGAAACATACAAAGATCATAATGGCATCTTTCATCTACAATAGAGAACCACAAGCAAACTGTGTGATATTCTGATATATGGCAGACGCACCATTTCATAAATCATAGTTAGTTTTGGACCCAGAATTTTGGATGCAGCAAAGAGATAGAGTATTCGAATATACCAAATAACACAATCGATTGACATGAATATCCTAGATGAAAACTTAAATGTATCTTATGTACTACATTCTTCTTCTCACATCACTTAAGTAAAAAAACATCCATTCCACCACTGAGATTCGAAGTAGTAATAGATCGACTACAGCTAAGTGAAAAGGGCATTGTTTTGTAGATTCCAAACAGAAAAGATAAAAAACATCTGTTGATCATGCATAGCCAATATCCGCTTCCTGTGAATGCTCATTGTATTTGTGTTCACTATTAAGTGACCCTAATAATGAATTACTTAACAAACCGATCTTATATCTTAGTCAGTACGTTACCAGTTTTAATGGAAACTTATACTAACCCTAAAAATATTTGAGCTGACTTGTAAAACCAGTTATCTCAGCAGACATATGCAATTTTAAGTGATTATGATATCTATAGATTATCTAGTTAAGAGTTTGTTTTTTACGGCAGAAACTTAGTGTAAATAACTAAAAAAATCAAAATATCTAATAGTAATGCTCGAAAATAACGTTGTTTAAAAAAGTCGTAAAAATAAGGAGGATAATATTTGAGAAGGAATCAATCAGACTGACGTCCTTCGTTTGAGTTCGTATCTTGTTCATAGATAAGACTTCAAATTAGTAGACAGAACACCCTATCAGGATTCGTGGCACCAGATCTTTCCTCGTACAATTTTACTTCAAAAGAAGATTGTCATTCTGATGGTGAAAGTTCACTTGTATTTTATATGAAATGGACTATTTTAGTCAATGTTAATGAATAGCTTTCCGAATTTCGAGTGTAGTTTTTCCTAATTTTTAATTGACATGAAAACTCCTCAAGTAAATGTTAATTAGCTTAGAGTACTGACCGCAACCAAGAGGAAATCGCTTACTTTGAACAAACGAAGAATGATTGTATAACAAACCAGCGAGTGAAAAATGCCATCAAATAAAAAAGAATGCCTGCTTGATCCATCCAATTCCAAGCATTGGTGCTGTAATTATAATCACTCATCATTTGTGATATAAACTAGATATATACAAACATATGAAAAATATAGATGATAAGAAGATATCAGTTCTGTAAGAAAAAAAAACTGACCTGGTATAGTTCATCGATAATTAAACTCCACATACAAATATGCAATATAATTTCTGAGACTGGAATCCGCAAATTCGGAATCCCAGATCGATTTTCGCCGTAGATATTCAATGGAAAATAATCCACCAAAAGAACATAGCTGAATAGAACCAGAAACGAGACAAAGAATATCTAAACACCGAATAAGATGGCAGAATTCAGTTAAGTAGCGGAGGTGACAATGTGGAAATATGCTTACTAAATTATAGTAAAAGCGTACAACTGGTGCTCCATAGAACCATTTAATTCGATCGAGCATATTAGAAATGTTAAAACGATTTGGCGTATTCTCTTTCAGTGGCGACGGAGGTGCATAGATCACTACTGGACGGTATGGATTCGATGCATTGGTTTCCTTCGTAAAAAAAAGGATGATAAAGAAGAATTCTCAATGTGCTTCTATTCGTACTACACTTATGCAGAGATTATTACTCATAGTAGCGGTCAGTCTTGCTCTCAACCAAGTCTGTCATACTTAATAGATATACTCTTAGGTATGTGAGACTCATTAACCTTTGCCAAAGGTAATCAGCCATGAATAGCCTGTCTGAATAACAACCGATAAAAATGGTAGTAAAAGACGATGAATTAAAATCTGGCTATCTATTTGAATAGAATGTGACCAAATGTAACAGATGGGAAAGGAATTATAGTAATGTCAGAAAAATGGTTAAAAGTAATGAAAGTCAATGACTTTTGTTTGCTTTTCATTGTTTCTACAGTATAACTTTGACAAAAAGAAACTTGTCATCGCAGTTTTTGATGAAATTAAACGCGAAATTTACATAAAAAAAGAAAGAAAAGAGAAAATTAGGACCGTAAAAATCACAATAATCACTGAACTCAATGTAAAGTGCATTCTCTGATTGAATTCGTTCTAGTATTCTCATTAATCTTTTGATGTCGGAGTCTTTTTGAAAAAATAAAGCTCTATAAAAGTGTAAATAGATGTTTATTCAATGCAGTATGTGTGAACACTTCGAGTACTTTCGAAATGCTGATCATTTTCTGTATCAACAAAAGAAAATGGCTCTATAGGCTATTTTCACTCACTTCTTATTGATTGGCTACATATATCATGCTCAAAATTTGCGGAATATTCGAAGTGATATTTATACCATGCTCGACCCCAAAGGATTAATGTAGAATGGTTAAATTCCGAAGATTTCGAAGATATCCAAGATCGACCTTTCGAAAAAGTCATTTTTTTCGTAAAAAGTAGAGTTGCATATCTGATAAGAGATCAACCAAATTTTACCGGTTGAACTACATACTTCAACAGATCGATAAACTAGCTGTTCCGGTGCTCTACGGAACAATTCACTTGTCCCCAATCCTAGATTCGACCCAACTTCTCTACCTTCTATTATTGTTGGTGTAGTCTTAATAGAAACTAAGATCGAACTTGAATTTCTCATCTCTGGTCACCTTTTGGTCAACTTGTATTCTGATTGATGATGAGTTTGCACAATGAAGTATATGTATATTAGGTACGCAAAAATTTACTAGAGATCGAGATCGAGATCGAGATGTGAAATATTCAGTCTCCACACATGCCTTACTCATACCGATTTCGAATTGTCAGAGTTGTTTTTGTATAGAGAAGGACATAGCACTGATGCAATGGGTATGAAGGGTAAAATGAAAGATGCGAGAAAGATCTAAACAAAGTATCAAATTTTTATGAAAATATTCTTTAAGAGTCTTTCAGAGTTTTAACAAACCCAACTAGAGATCCGTATTTTGAGTAACCGTTGTTGATGGTCAAAATGATGATACCACATGTTCTTGAGATGTTTTTGTATTGTGTTGCTGGCGAGAAAAACTTGACAGTTTGCACGTTGTGCTACATCCAAAGGAAAGCATCCGTAGAACGCCGTAGCTTTGCATTCGAGTAAATTAAGTGCAAAATCATTGTCTTTTGCTAAACATTTGTCTATGATTCCTCTAGCGTGGTGATCAAATTCTCTGTTTTCAAAAGCAAATAAACCAAACAAGTATGTAAGATTCTGTATCAAGTATACAAATATTCGATTAGCTCACTGTGAAATTGCTCTTAGATTCTGTTTGTTTATTGTGAATATATCTGCTGCTGTAGCATAAATCTCAACTGCGAGAAGACTGGCAACCGTTTGATTCTGATAGTTATCATATAACATAGGAAAATAGATAGATAATAAATCAAATTGAAAGTGAGTACAGTGTATGTATGTCTTACTCGGCTCTTGGAGCAAAGATACTTGGTCATCGCTGGCTGATTCATGAATACAAACCAAAGATAAAGTGCTTCAGTCTTACGGCCGTTAAATATTTCAGACAATGGGGTAAAGCTTGAGCTAACCTTTTGCTTTCTTTCTTGTCCACGTAAAAGATGTCTTCTCGTTCGCTTCTTTTCTCTATCTTTTTCCTTTATAACCTAAAATATACAACTAAAATAAATTTGATACACTCGAAAGTATTGAATACGTACGTAATGGTTCAAATATTGTCGAAGATAATCATTATATCTTTGTTCTACATATTCCTTAAGTTCACTTAATTTAGCATCACGTTTGAATGAGGTGAATTTGACGGATGACTTATTGAGAACAAGGGCATCGTCATTCTTAAAAATAGATATGAATAAGATAATACATAATTCATTTTGGGAATATCTATCTAGGTTGATTTACCATAGTTTTGACACAAATAATAATGAGTTGTTCTTCTGTCAACTCTTCTATTGATGCACCGTATTCCATTAGCAAACTGACAAAAGGCACGGTATTTCGATACAAAGCTTCGAACAGTAGTTGTTGCGCTAATGGAATCACCTAGAAAAGAAAGTGTAGTCAAGACATCTTCATTGAAGATATATCATGAGTTAATGTTTGAAATACTGCATGAGTAAGTTGCCATTGCACTACACTCATAATAGATTGACTTTTTTTTATGAACTCGTTTTATTCATAATAATTTTTACGCCTTTTAGTGACGTTGGTGTATACAAAACACAAGCTCTTCAACTACAGGATGACCTAAAAGTAATCGGACAGTCTTTGATTGTGGATAACTTTTGACAAGAATACGATGGGGAGCTGCGGTTTTCACTGTTCGAAAGTGCAATGCTTGTACTATCGATCTGTATATTTTTTTTTATAGAGAATTATGAATTAGCTTTTTTCCTACACAAATTTTCGTCAATTTTTACCATAAATGCAACTCAAATTATGTCGAAATGCTGCTTAAATCCCACTTCCCTCACTATAAAATCACCACATTTTCAATCAATCCTTCACTTCTTTTATGAATTGGGTTATCGGAGAGGCTGTCATAATTTTATAGTGAAGAAAGTAGGATTTAAGCAGCATTTGACATAAATTGAGTTGAGATTATGATGAATATTGACGAAAATGTCTATCAACAGTTATTCGCAATCAAAAGCTGTCCGATTACTTTTGTATCACCCTGTCTAGTGAATCCCATTCTCTTACAATTTGACGACATGCTTTCAAATTCATTCTTTTGTTGCAAAATATTTTCTGGTAATCGAGTTTTTCAAACGAATGTGACTTGCATTTAGTGATATGTAATTACGCTCTAATGAAGACAATGAGCGACTTTGAAAAATCTGAAGTTCCATTTCTCTCAAATTGTTCTAATAGTGAGTTAAGACATTTGTAGTCAGTACTTCTTAATTCTCAATTCCGCACAAAAATTTCGAATGAATTAGTTTGATTGAGATCCCACAAAATATAACCAATCAAAGAAAAAGATTAGAGATAATTTTTCTTTTTCACTTGATTTCTTAAAGTTTGTCGAATTGAAGAACACTCCTAATTAACTTCACTTTACATTTTTCTCACCTGATTTTTGTTTTGTTCTACATTGTTTGTTGATGTCATAGCCTCATCTTTGCGATCGATCAGCAGCTGTCGTGCATAATCATCTTTGTTCCATATCTGAAAATTTTTAACAGAAAATATTATACATTTTTTTAAGTAGAGTTACAAGAAGATCTTACCATACACCATAGTAAAAGCGCAGCTCTGGTGTCCGGACAAAAAAATTGCTCCCAATTCTCGATTTCATACTTTATACCCTTCAGCATTGCGTCGGCAATAGTATCTTCTAGTTTGGCACTGTATTCGATGGCATCGAAAACAATAATGAGTGCTTCCATTTCGTTTAGAGCATCCACGTATTTCTCAATTTCTTCTTCTTGCTCTGTGTTTTCGTTTTCTTTATTGCATAGTTTTTTCAATTCATTTTTGCATTCTTCAATATATGTTTTTTTCCGAAATTGTGCCAGTTCATCAGTAGGAGATGACTTGCGGCAAAGCTGAGCGATGATATCAGCGATACCACCTGTATTCTATACAGAATGTGAATAAATATCAACGAATTATGAAACTGATATCATCGATATCTGTTCAGGATGTCTTTGTAAACAAGCAATTATACATGCTTTTCTAATAAAACCACAATCTTGTATTATATGCACATCGTAAGTAAATATCTTTCGATGATGAATTCAAATTACCACACATATGACATTTTCGACTATAAGAACAGCTTAGTCTAATAGACGTGACTGTCAATAGCAGCAGTGATCATCAATTCGATTAATAAGCTACATCTTTATAAGCACAATTATTATTATCCGTGTGCTCATTCTGTTTCTTTAAACAATAGACAGATATATCAGATGTAATCGTCATCAGAAAATATCGACTTAGGAGATGCAAATAGTACAAGATTGAAGTTCTGTAAGGAAAATATCTCTAATTGCTTGTTTACAGAGACACTCGGAACAGACATCATAGCCGGTTTATGGTTTGTCAGTTAAGTCGAATAAGACAGGTTTATCAAAACGATCTTAAAATACTATTTCATAGTGTATGCCTTTGTAGCCTACTTATTGAATCTCACCATATACAGCTCTACTCAAATATAAAGGAAATATGAACACATTTAATCGAAATTTTATACTAATCAGACTCTACTACACTTATAATCAGCCACTTGTGCGTCTTACTACGTAAAAAAATGATCAGGCTGAAATTTTGTGTTAGAGATATAATAGCGGATAAAGAATTAATTGGAATAGCTTTTGACTCACGATATTTTGTTATCGTATGATTCCTCTTGAAGTTCTACGTCTAGAAAACTACAAACAATAGAAGACAGCAACAATTTAAAAATCGTCCTTCTAAACCTGTCTCTTCGTAGTATTTTTTTCGGAAAGAAAGGAGTTGTGAATATGTTTGATATATCTAATGAAGTCATTATTGACCTGTGCAGCACATCTAGTGGGTGCAATAAATGATGGATGTACTAGATTCCATTTATCAAAAGTAATTATAAAGATGTGTCGCAATATATAACGAGAAAGTTAGATATCTCACTTAAAATAACAGGCATGACGAAGAGTTTCCATCTATCACAGATAAACATTGTTTGGCATGAATGACAATTACTAACACTGTGTATGTGAAATAATATTTTTTTTTACTAATGAAACAATTTCTAGCGTATATCACGTGTCGATAGCATGTGAGCTACCCTGCAATACTTCTACTTCTAATCGTATTACGAATTTTTCAAAGATGGTCTAGGAAAATTCGAAGAATGTTTTGATTACGAAAGACTTCAAATGCAAAAAAATTCTTCTGAACGAAAAAGGCAACAGTTACCCTACTGTGAAGGAAAACTGCACTTGCTTTTCTACCGACAGTATAGTTTGTTTCAAGTGTTTGAGAAGTATACAAAATTGAAGCAAAAATGCAAGGAAACACGAATAGTGCCCTATGAACCGTAGAGAATACAAATAACGAGAGATTTAAATTCACTCCAATGAATAAGATAAATCGTCAAAATAGACTGTCGAATGAGATTAATGAAATGGATAATGATAATTTTCATTCTAACACAAGAAGAACTAAGATACACTAAAATTGTGATTTTGTCTTCAGTTTGTCCTTCTCATGACAATCCTCTCTATATTATGTATTAATTTTAATTTTATGGAAGATGATTCTGAACATGAAACTACGTACTCGAACAACAACGACCGGTGTTCCCACTTCCAAGCCTTTACATATGGTGGCTAGTGTTGCGAAGTCGCCACCGATTAATAACATAATAATGGGAATATCATTGTCAGATGCTAGAAAATATATTAGCAGCTAGAATATTTGATAAATATGTTTTTAATCTTCACAAAACATACCAATATTTTTTGATGCGAAGCCAGGTACAGGCGATCTCAATACCTTGCTAATACTAAGTTCATGCTCAACTTCTTGACGTTTCAATAACATATTTTTTACATCCTTCGATCCATCATCGAAGAAGAAAAAATGAGTGTGATTCGGGTCTAGTTGTCCATGGGAACTGAGACTGTCGCAGTCTGTGCTTGGTGTCATTATATACTTATGAATAGGAAGATATTCATTGTCCATCTAAAAATTAAAAATAATCAAATTTGTAGAGACATTGATTTCGGTCTCTTATTTAACATCAGTTACCACACATCTCATTTCATATGGCATTGATTTTGTGGTGGTTTGTTCTATTGGCTGTTGGTCACCTGAAGAATAATGTAGAGCATTAAACTGAAAGTCATAAATTATAGTCATATTAGTGATAGAGATACCTGGTACATAGTTCCAACTGCAGAAACCTAGACAAGGAACATCACTTCCACATATGTCCCTGTGCAACGCGTTTCCAATTAACTTAATCACATCTTGATTAGTACAACTTGTCGTAACCCATGGTTCTGAATATTCGAACAAATAAATATGAGAAATAGCAAAGTTTCTCAAACTATTCACGTGTTATCCTTGCTGTATCCGTTAAACCACGTTGAATAGCACGCTCAGTTTCTGCTTGAATACCAGATTTTTGTTGATGCGGATCATTGTCGTAGATATTGCCCGTCTGGATTGATAGAATGAAATCAGGAGCACGAAGTTGATACGCCTCGATGAGCTTTGCTACCGACCAAGGTCTTGTACTGGCAGCAAGATGAATGAACTGAAGATATATAGAGTCTAAATATTTTGCTAGAAAAAGGAGCAAAGCTACAAAACAGCGAGGTAACTTTCTATACGATGAGATCTTATTTTGTTATCGGACGTATATCACTGTTCACTATTTTAATTTACACTTTATAAGTAATTAAAGACGAAACTGTTGTTATTACGTAGTGAATATTAATATATTAATTACAAGAAATAAAGATAAGCAATTCATTGTTAGCCTGAACTAGAATTCTCTCTAAAAGGGCTGTTGAAAACACCATTAACTTTTGGCTTGACAGATACAACATAGAGATCAGAAAGGCCTACCGATGATAAACGATCGTGTTCTCCACCATCATGAATGTTTTTATTAGTATTGTTGGAATATATAAATTGAAAAAAGCCGAAATAAGCCGATTCGCTAAATATATTCAAGACATTTTATATTCTAATATCGAAGAGATTACTGTGTTTACTTCAACCGTAATACACAGTTATTGGCTAAATAACTTAATCTATTTTGTTGTGGAATAACAACTTACTTAGAGTAATCTTTAAGGTTGAGCTTTAATGTTTTGATAACCTGCAATGAAAAAATGATTCAAGCACACAATTTTTTAGGTTATATATCAACGTACGTTTTTCATGCGTTGTTGTAATTCGGACACTCTAGACGAACCTGGGGTTAATTCTAAACATATGGAAATTTGTTATATGTTTTCTCTCCTGAAATCTGGAAACACAAGAGTTCATGTTTGTTCTTTTTCTCTTTTTCGTCTCACTTCGAAAATAAATACGAAACCTCTACACGCTCTTTCCTATTAGAATATCCGTAAAAATCAAAGCTATCACAGAAGCAGTATAGATTTTTGCGATATTATCTCACAAAAACAACTCTTAAGTTTGATCTGCGTTTCTGATTATATTTGTGACAATTATTTCACTGTTCTAGTGGAAATTTAGCAGCTCTTGTCCAAGTTTCAACAGAAGCTTCATGTCACATCTGCTATCTATTTGAATCGAATGCTTTTGTGCGACAACTAAAAATTTAATTCACCATCATCATCTATGAACATCATGCATTTCGGAAATAATCGTGACTCTATCGTTTCTCTATATAAACGAACACAATGACAGCAGCTGTTTGTGTCACAATCGTTTATCATTGTTTACTTTTCAATAATATTCAGAATCATAACATTGACATGTAAAATGACATGTTAGGTATTGGTTTTTCTAAATGCCATTTCATGATGTATGATCACTCGATCACATATTTTATACTTTGATGTAATGCAAGTGTTCCTATGTGTAGATCCTCTTACGATACTATTGATGATGGGATTTAACACGAATGTAGATGGTGGGTTTTGTAGCAAGTTATACTATTACGAAAAAGAGCCTCTTCTTAAAGCTGACTTTACTTTGTTAGTGATTTACAAAGCATATATTATAAAGAAAATAATTCAATCTCGAGTTGTATTAACGAGAGTCGCTCAAATCATACACGTCGATGACACAAAGGAGACATATTTTTCGCATCATGAGCATATGAATAATAGGACTAATTTCAAGTTATAAGAAGGTACAGAAGTTTTATGACCGTATACATATGAAATGGAGGCAACTGTATTTTAAGTTTCGTTGATGAATGAAGACAGACATCTATTGCAAGTCTTTTCTCTTAATTTATAAGAAACGTGACATAATACTAATCAATTTAAATTTCATCTTTCTACACACAATCTAAAATGTGTGGCCATGATACTAAGGATCTTCGACAAATTCTTCTGTTGGATGATTTTTGGATAGCATTATGCATGACGATTTATGAAATTATTGATAACTAACGAAACCTGTAATAATTCAGTTTACCACTACTGTAAAAGAGCATGTGTACCGTATTCATTTACCTTGTATTCCTACTTTTGCTTCACTTGTTCGCAATGGATCTGATTCACGATGATAAAATTCATCATTGTCTATAAGCATGTTTGAGACGTGTGCCAATGTTCTTATTCCACTTAGTTCCGTATTTTGCATGACTATTCTCGATTGAGTTTTGTCAGACTCTTTATATTATATGATTATATCTGCAATATAAAATGAGAAATGTAAGTTTCTGAACGACCAATGGTCTATTGATATCACTTCAAGAAATATTCCACAAATACGACATAGATAGAAATGTGCAGTTCTAGTAAACTGTTCATTAACAACTCACATTGGCTCACTGACGTCCACCAGCTACCTTAACTACATTGATCAGCGTCACTGCAATACTAACACTCATTGGAATATTGACGTTTAGTAAATACTGGCCATACTGATACGAATGTGGGTATGGGTGTGGATGTGGGTTTGCGCTGAAAGAAGGAAGGCCCACACACACACAGTTTCGCACGGATCCCTAGACACACTCTGATACTCACATCCAGAACCTCACACGAGGATTCTATTACATTCATACCCAAATCTAGTAACAAAGGCATGCCAAGATGATTAGTATTATCTCTCTTTAGTTAATTCAGAATTCAGAAAAACTGCATGGTATTGTTGTAGGAATGTACTCCTTAAAGGAAACTTTCGAATGATATTTGGATATCACATAGAAACATTTTGAATGATCGCGTAACTGTAGAAGTATATTTATCATTCGTTTCTAGAAAAGAAGTCCGACGAACTTAGCGAAGATATTTCATTGAGTCACATACAATAATGATGTTGTTATTCAAAAGCCAACTATAGCAGCATTCAGTTTTGCGATGAATGGAGCCGCGAACAATATTGACTCACAATAAATGTTTGTCTTTCATATAGTTTCGTGCAGTAAAAATGTGAAGCAATTGAATTTTGTCTTCAGACATTTCTGTTTACTTTTTTTTTCGATCGAATGTTGACGCAAAAGAAACGAAAGTTTCAAATATGATAGAGTTCTTCTCTGAGCAAGTAAAAAAGCCAAGAAAAACAAGCGAATAAAGTGGGTGGGGTAATTCTCTGCATGCTGCAAACGAATATTGTGAGTTACTTTGTCGTTTTCCATTTTGTTGGGAATACTATCTCAGAGTCCTTAAACACCAATCGTGAGTATTTTTGAATAACAGGATATTTTTTTATTGGACAGTTTTTCAACATTCTCTTAAAATCTGATACCATAAAACGATATGGAACACTATGTCGGCGTCACAGCCAACAATCAAATAAAAATTTTGCAAGTAAATCCATTTGTCCTGTAGAATCAAATAGACACGAAACTGGGCAACTCAATGACATTCTTATTCAGTCAATGTCACTAGTAATACCACTAGTAATGGCTTGTGAAGACGAAGGTGGGATGTGGGTGTTGCTGTAGAGCAGAAAAAGATCCACGCTCACACCCACACCCACACCCACATCTATGAAAATCCGCCCCTAATGGGCACTGCAACGAATTCACGTTCATCAGTAAAACTTTTCAAACCCTATGCAGAATACCGTAGCCCGAAAACACCATTAGTATTTTCGATCGTAAAATACTAGTAGGCCATCTAATCCACTTCGCTAGATAGAATTAAAACCTATGTCAAAGCCATACTCGAAAAAATTGATCATTTGAGCTATACGTCAGCCATTCTATTATTTTCTTCCCCAAAGACCAAACTACACTGCAAGGTTTCCTCCTCTTTCAAAGAGACCTTCTTATTGCATATTACGATGTAAACTTACTGATCAATCTCTTTCGAATTCGTTGCCTTATTAGAGTTCACTGTCAATGTGCGTCGAAACACAGATCAGCAAAAATATTAACGTTACGATGTAGAGCAAACGAAACTGAAACTTACCGTGCCAATAATAATTTGAAGCTGAACAATACTTTGCAAGAAAAACTGACGACGTTCACTCGTTAGCAAGCATTGAAAGCGACAAATAAGAATAAATGGTTTTGAAAAACGAAAGTATCTTTTCTGCAATAGACAAACAAGCACGCGAGTTGAAACAGCAGCATGAAGGTAAAGGTGAACAGTGAGTGAAACGTACTGCTGATGCATGCGCAGCACTTTTTTCCCACCCGATTGTAAGCTGATCTGGGTAGGGCTGTAGCTGTATGTTTGGCTCGGTGCATGTGCTATTGTGGGCATGGATACCTGTGAATAGTAGTATGGATGTTGTGTCCGACTCAGAGAAAATTCTGACAAAAGCCCACCTAGGCTAAGTCTCACACCACAACCACACCCTACATTTGCAGATCCAGATCCGGAATTTACACCCACACGAATAACCATTTTCTCCTTAACTGACAGGAAGTAGTATAAATAAAAATGAGTGCCGTACACCTTCCTTCTTTTAAATATACAGATTGGTTGATAAATAACTATGTAATAAGAAATTTAGATACCGTTGCTAGATACCGCCTGAAGGAGCCAAAATTTCCATGAATGAGAGAGGCTTGTTCAAAACGTTTTTCGTAAGAGAAACATTAATAAATAGTGCTCCAAGCTATAACTTCTACCTTACCAAGGATTTAGCACCTGTTACTGGCTTAGAAATCCTTATACGATGACCCATACCCATTTCTAAGAGTGGGTGTGAGTGCAGAAAAGACTCAGATCTACACTCATGTTTTATTCTGAATCTGAAATTTAGTGAGTGTATACACTTACGTTACAATGGATTTTTAATTTTTGCATGCAAGTGGTCATAAATA